CTAGCATGTATTTCACACCCCACCTCCAAACCTTTACTACTGCTTCACACAGAAGAATATTTTTTTATTTTTTTTAGAGATTGCATTGTTAAGCTGTCATACTTCACGCAAAATGTAAAACACCCAACCAATGCCCTAGAATTCTAATAAACCAATAAATTAAATAGCTATCCCAGAAAAGTCACAAATTATACCGTTAACTATGTGCACGGCAAAACAAATTTCACTACTCTGCTTCTGGACAACAGCTGTCTATTCATAAAGACTATATATAAGTTCAAAAATCTTACATAGAAACTAGATTGCATTAAAAAAACAACACTTGTTTTGCACATACATTCGAGTGCAAAGCACCCACTCTTTTGAAGGCTTAATGGTTGATTTATAAATATTGGTTGGAATTCCAATCTTTCTGATCCGTATCCCATTGAAATTACGTCATTTTCATACATTGACACCTTTTTTTTATGTGTTAAATAAAAATGTGGGATCACTCCTATAGGAGATGAATACTTGTATATTCTCCTTAAAATGTATGGATTAAATACATTTTTACACCTTCATTTCAATATATTGCTAATACCAGGAGATTTTCCAAAAAAAGTCCAAATTCTAAATATTTTCTGCCTGAAGATTTTATAGTCTGTAGAGCCCATCAGGTTCTGGCAGAAATATGTTACTTCCTTTCATAGATGACCATACATCTGTAGATCAATTAAGAGCTCAAACACAATATGTGGGCCAAGTAGAGTACTTTGGCACCAGACCAGGTTTGGCCATGTTTAGGCTGCATTTCTCAGCGGTTCCAAGGCTTGTTGTATCTATAAAGCCATGCCAGACTTTCATTTAATAAAGCAAATTTCAAATGTAGCATAAAGCAGGCTGAAACGGTGAGTTACATGTATGCTGGTGTTCCTATCTTCTGTTGTTAGTAAAGTAATGGAAAAAATGAAAGTGCCACACTGATGAATTCATTCCAGTATGGGTTCTTTATTTGATGCAATGCAGAGGTAAAAAGTCAATCAGTTTCTAGGGCTCGCAGATCTCCCTTTATCAGGGCTTGTACGCTGGCAGTGATGTGCAATAATACTGGACAGGTTATGGGGAATGAAGAATATGTAATCCCTGTATGGGTTGACGGTCAGATAGGCTGTCTAACAGGCAACTCACTAGTGTTGGCTTTTTACCTCTACATTGCACCTAATAAAGAACACATACTGGACTGAGTTAATCAGTGTGGTGCTCTTGTTTATGCAATACTCTACAAACATTCCCAGGGACTGCTTGGCATACCTTTTTTTCCATAGAGAGCTGCCTCCAAGATTCAGGAATTGTACCACTTATCCACATCCACTCAAGAAGTCCAGAGCTCCAACAATATACATATATTTGCTGTATTTTCTGTTTTTGAGAACACTTGTTTATTTACTTACCGCACTTCACTGGATTCCACATCTGCCTCAACACCACCATGAAAAGATAGTGGATGTTTGTTTCATACCACTTAGTTTGGTACATACATAAAATTCTGAAGAATGTAGTTCCACTACAGCTTTGTTAAGATGTGGTAAAATTCTTGTGGTGTCTTGCACTTTTTATTCATATATCTTTAGGGGCAGAAGACATCAGCAGTAAAAAGCCTGGATCAGGGCCACTGACCCATGGCTCCCAACAGCCTCCGTGCTCTATTTGTTCGTGGTAATAGAAAAGACTACTTCATTTGCATTACACTTCACAATCCCTAAACTCTGAAGCAAATAATTCATATTGCTGGCATAAGATCGGGAGGACAGGCAAGGGAAGAGAGGCCCCCAGGGCCTAATGGGATGGGTCAAAGCACATGGTATCTATATAATTCTTTCATTTCTGTAACTGGATGGTTGGATCAGAAATGACATTGTAGTTTTTTCAAAACATACACAATAATTCTCATGGTTATCCTGCATGAGGCTAAGGCTTCTAAAACATAATGGTTACCTCTGTACCCTTTTTACCATGATCTACAGGCAACTCACTAGTGTTGGCTTTTTACCTCTACATTGCACCTAATAAAGAACACATACTGGACTGAGTTAATCAGTGTGGTGCTCTTGTTTATGCAATACTCTACAAACATTCCCAGGGACTGCTTGTCATATCTTTTTTTCCATAGAGAGCTGCCTCCAAGATTCAGGAATTGTACCACTTATCCACATCCACTCAAGAAGTCCAGAGCTCCAACAATATACATATATTTGCTGTATTTTCTGTTTTTGAGAACACTTGTTTATTTACTTACCGCACTTCACTGGATTCCACATCTGCCTCAACACCACCATGAAAAGATAGTGGATGTTTGTTTCATACCACTTAGTTTGGTACATACAGTACATAAAATTCTGAAGAATGTAGTTCCACTACAGCTTTGTTAAGATGTGGTAAAATTCTTGTGATGTATTGCACTTTTTATTCATATATCTTTAGGGGCAGAAGACATCAGCAGTAAAAAGCCTGGATCAGGGCCACTGACCCATGGCTCCCAACAGCCTCCGTGCTCTATTTGTTCGTGGTAATAGAAAAGACTACTTCATTTGCATTACACTTCACAATCCCTAAACTCTGAAGCAAATAATTCATATTGCTGGCATAAGATCGGGAGGACAGGCAAGGGAAGAGAGGCCCCCAGGGCCTAATGGGATGGGTCAAAGCACATGGTATCTATATAATTCTTTCATTGCTGTAACTGGATGGTTGGACACTATAATTCTCATGGTTATCCTGCATGAGGCTAAGGCTTCTAAAACATAATGGTTACCTCTGTACCCTTTTTACCATGATCTATTAATGGAAATGGTCATGCTGTATCATATCTTGTACACTCCAAGCTAACTTGGAGCTAGCTTTCCATTGTGTGTACATAAAGGTGCAGTAGATGGCCACAATAAGTAGTAATAGGGCTAAATACAGAATCATGGGATAAAGGAAAAAGAGAGGGACACCACTAAAGTGGATGGTAGAAGGCATACAAGGTGCTGTACCGACCAACCTGAAGGGCTGATCCCAAAAATATTAATTTTATTTTTATGGTCCCAGGGCACTACACATTTTAGTGGATTACCTCTAACATAAGTGGCCATCAAAACAGAATGGTGTGTAGCTTAAAGCAGAACTTCAGGGATATTTTTGTTAACTGCTCATTTGTGTTTAGAATTAACAAAGAATTACTCACCCAAAGCTCCGAGCCAGCTTCTTCTAAGACCGGTCCCTGGAATGTCTCTCCCCCTCCTCTGCAGAGATCTAAGGTCCAGTAAATCAACTCATCTATACCCTGTGCATAGACATGAGGACACTGAGGAACTATCCAATCGGCTGCAGAGGAGGGGACAGGCTGGTGGGAGCACCATCCACTTAACCCCTGCAGTGTTGGGCTAGCCCCACTGCAAGGGTTAATAGAAAAAATCCTGGAGTTCTGCTTTAAGAAGAAACACATTTAATAAAATAAACTATGCTCAGATATGTAATAACGCCTGTAGAATTAACTCAGTACTGCAGTCTCCAGGCAATATTTGTAATTCACCCTCAGGATACAAACACAGTCATTAAGCAATGTCGTGCAACGTTTGTTAGGCAACGTTGTGCACCATGGTGTGTAAGTACACAGAACTGCACTAAACAGAAGAGAGCTGGACAGCAACTACTAGAATGTAGAACTGGCCTATGTAGTAGCATTAGCCAACATTCAGCCCACAAGTTTGCTTCTAATGGCCACATTATATACATAGAATTATACAAATTTCCTCTTTACCAAGATATGTACACCAAACACATGTGCAAAAATATTTATCATATTATCAGACTCCTGCTCTTTTCCATTTAGTTGTAACAACCCAGATACCAAGAACTGCAAAAACCTGATGGCATTCCTACCTCAACACATGTAATATTAAATCCCAAGTAAACTTTCAGTTTAAATCAGCTAAGTCCAATTCATTTGCATCAAAACAAAAGCAGCCACAAGCTGAGTAGAAGTAGTGTCTAGAAGCAGTGACTCTAGTCAGATCTAGAGCTCCCCAATAAGCAGGGAACATGGGCTTTGCTGACTATAGAGTTCCCGTTCTAACCCAGCAGAGGGTGTGTTGAACTTCTACAGAGAGATCACTGCTTCCACATAGAGAGCAAGGGTTCTTCTCTGCAGCATGCTGGCAGAGCACAGGCTTTTCTACTGACCTGAGGCTACTTTCTAAAGAAAAACAAACTGTAAGACTTTTACCATCTTCTGTTTTGATGCACCTGGAATGCTTTTAGCCAATGTAAACTGAACGTTCAGTTGGACTTTTAAGTATAACGTCACTTATCTGTGATCTTGTAAGAAAGGGTAGTGAAACAATCGGTTTTGCAAACAATACAAACTGAGTTTCTTTTTCAAGCTTGTAAATGCTTTAGAACTTTCCAGTGTTTCAAAGAAAATCATTCTTTGCAATGGGCTGTATCTGCAGACATCAACAATATACTTCTATCAATATAGCAGAACATGCAATGTTTTTGCTAACCCAAATGTGTTTTTTTTGGTGTCTTTTGTAATCCTACTGCAAATAACTATATGTATAAAGCTGAATAATGTGTCAAACAACTTTAAAAATGTAATAAAAAAATACAACCCTGTAAGATTCTTAATTGTATCTGAGCTTATGGTAGCATTTGTTCCCATTGTATGGCACAAGATCCTACTCCCGTAACAAGCTGAACCTGTTAATACATTCTAAGAGCCAAACAGTAATTGGAAATCAAAAATAAGCTTCCAGCTTGCTCCTTGGACATGGCAAGAAAAATAGGTGGGGTTGCATGTGTACAGATGACATTAGTCTGCTGTAAACATTGACAGAAAGGGAGTGTTCCAATTGATGGTTCTTTCACTTATGAAAGAATTAAGGCATCAAATACAACAATGCTGAAGTACAGAGAGAAGGGCAGAAAAAGCTCAAAACATTACAATATGGGAATATGATTAAGATGGCTGGCATTTCTTCAGTTACGTACTCCAAAATATACATATCCAATTCCTATATACAGATAAATTCTTGCTTTTCCTTTGTAACAAATTACACATTGGCACAGAAGAGCAACCAGACAAGTTTCTGACTGGCCACAAAGTCACTGATTTGAAGCCAGCTTTCTTCTTGGCAGGGTGGCTGGCTATACAAGGGCAGTCCGAGAATCAGTTCTTAAGATGCTAGAACAGCTGCTTTTTCTTCTCTGAATTGGGGTACTCATGGAACTTGAGGGCTCGTTGGGGCATCCATGTTGAAGAAGAATGTCCACACACTCTCGATTTCCAGATTTTCTAGCATAGAAGAGCGCAGTGTGACCATTGATGTCCTTGGCCTTCACCTCAACGCCATACTATAACAAAATGAAGATATATTAAAGGTATTTAATATACTGTATATTCTGTTACAGCCAGGTGAAAACCGCTGCACAGAGACCACAGCGCAGCTAGAAAATATTGTAGCATGTTCATTTTGTCAAGTATAAAGATAGCATGCTTAAGGGTCAAATATTATCAGTACCATGCATCATTTGCACATACACTATATGGCCAAACGTTTGGAGATACATACGTATGACACAGGGGCGTAACTAGAAATCACAGGGCCCCATAGCAAAATGTTGTATTGGGCCCCGTGATTGCTAGTTATGCCACTTGCAGAGCCCCAGCAGAGAGTGACCCTGCAGAGCCCACTATAGACTCTCTATAGTGGGCTCTGCAGGGTCTGTGATCTCTTACCTGTCAGCGCCTCTGTGGTCGCCAAGCCCCGACTCCTGTTCCGTCCCCAGACCCCGCCTCCTCTGCTATCGACGGGCCACGACCTTCTCTTACATCACTGGCCCAACCTGCTCTTAGGTCGCTGGCCAGCGATGTAAGGGCTTCGCCTCCTCCATTCCGAACACCGCCCTCATCTGCCGCAGCGGCTGTCTGTCACTGACACAGCTCCGCAGCGGCTATGAGGGGAAATGCACCGTGGCCGCTGCTGAGCTGTGTCTGTGACAGCCAGCACCCCCACATGCCATAGCGACCCAGGCGGCCCTGGCCAAGCCCTCCTGTGCCAGGGCCCCATAGCGGCCGCCTGGGTCACTATGGCGATTGTTACGCCACTAGTATGACACTTATATGAGCTTGCTGGACACTCCAGAAGAAAGCCATTGTAATTAATATGGAGTTGTCCCTTACCCCTTTGCATCTGTGGCTGTGAGGTCAGGCACTTATGTTGAACAAGAAGACCTAACTCACAATATGCACTCTATTTCATTCCAACGGCATTCAGTAAGGTTGAGGTCAGGGCTCGTTATGGGCCAATCAACAGTTCCTCCACACCAAACTCATAAAACCATGTTGTTATGGACCTGGCTTTGTGCACCGGGGCACAGTCATGCTGGAGCAGAAGAGGGCTTTACTCAAACTGTTGGCACAAGGGGTGTCCACAAACTTTAGGTCATATAGTGGGTGATGGTTAGCTGACCACAAACTTTTGGCTATGTAGTTAATTTATGTAAAGGGTTTTTACCTCGATGAGCTGAATTTTCCATGTTAGCAATCCTTGCTGCTAATCATTTTGCTTTTACATTGTTGCTGCATTGAAACTGACTAAGTGAACCACTAGAATGCAAGAAGGGGTAATCCCAGCACATTCCTTGGTAACCATTAGACATGTGCGATTCGTTTAGTTCCGAATCGAAATTCGGACGAATTTTTGTAAATTCGGACATTCGGAAGTATCCGAATTCCGAATTACAGACATAACGAATGCAAACGAATCCGAATTTCCATTTCCGAAATTCTGTAGCGTTCGCACGAACGTTCGTTTCTTTTTCTGTTCGTATTCGTTTCTTATTCGTTTCGTTCGTTGGAGCAAAGTGACATTAGAGAAGGAGAAAACTATTTTTCCCCCCTCAAATGTCACTTTTGCTGCGAACGAAACGAATAAGAAACGAATAAGAAACAGAAAACGAAACGAACGTTCGTGCGAACGCTAAACAATTTCGTCCGAATCCGAATTCCGAATCCGAATTGACTTTCACACCCGAATCCCGAAAAACGAAATAACACAAATCCGAATTTAAAACGAAACGAAACGAATTTTTGGGCAGTGCACATGTCTAGTAACCATACTTAACACAAAAATATTGCTACTATTTTGGGGTTTTCGGTTTGATCCCAGATTATATTTGAAATCAGACAGAAGTACACTAGAGATGAGACGTAACTGGCATATCACCATACCGGAGAACTCAGTGCCAGTGCTGATCTTTCAGAAATACATATAAGCAGTCTGCCGTATAGACCCTGTATAATACAATACTATTGTCAAAGCTGCACAAACACAATCACCGGGACAAAAGTCACTGAAACAGTCACACATAGAGACCTACCATGAGTAACCATTCACACCAAGGCGCTTTGTTTCTCAACTGTAAGCGTGACAAACACTCAAAACAAACACTCATCCCATATGCTTGTTTTGAGTGCAACAAAAGACAAGAATCCTATTCATTTCTATGGTTCCTATTCACACCTGAGTGTTTTGTTGCACAAAGTTTCCCAATGAAGTCTATTGGACACACAAAAAAAAAAGTGCTGCAATCTGCCAAAAAGTAGATCATGTATTTTTTCCAGCGACAGGCTTTTTCTGCTTGCAAAAAAAATGCTCAGGTGTGAACAGGAGCCATAAAAATTAATGGGATGCCTTGTCTTGTGCATTTTGCCACACTTAGCTGTGAGCGACTAAACGCCTAGATGTGAACGAAGCCTGGATCACACAACTGTGGAGCATGGCAAGTGTTCACAAACTGCAGATGAATATGCATTAGCCACTTGCTATGGGTAGCTGTACATTTACTGCTGCAGCCGTGTTCTTGGTGTCATTCTAAACAGCAGGCGATTGCTGTTAATGTACAAGTGATCCGGCATCTATACAGCCGCCGGATCGTTTGTACCGATCGCTGGCATATGCTGCCTCCACCCCCCTCCGCCGCCACCGGCTTCCCTGGGCTCCGCTGTCCCCCGTGCAAGCCCAGGACCGGCACAGCGGGTCTACCCGTAATGATCGGAGAGAGACCAGCAGATCTCTCCTCTGATCACTGGACATGGATGTGTATTACATCACTTCCGGTGTCACTGTTTACATTCTCCACCTCTTAGAGCCAGGAGAAGAAGCTGGTGTAGCAGATTTGTTTTAAGTCCCCCGCCCCTCACGTGCATGCATATATATACGCCGGTACGCCTACGTGCGAACACCAAACATTGCACTACACATGACACATGACACATAACGCTGCAAATGTCGGCGTGAGAGCAATAATTCTAGGGCCATCAATCACTGTTAGCACTAAGCTGATAAATGGCAAAAGCTTTTAAATGTCCCCTATGAGAAATTTAGGGTATTGTAGTTTTTTGCGGCTTCATGGGCGAACGCAATTGTAAGGCTTGACATGTTTGGTATCTATTTACCCGATGCGACCCCAACTTTTAAATTTTACAAAAAAATTGGGTATTCTGTTTCTGTGCACTAAAGTCATTTTAGTGTATTTTATCCTAAAAATACTGGTTTGATAAACATTTGCGCAAATACTGTGTGATGTAGAAAATTGCAACTAGCATTTTATTTATTCTACATGGCCTCTGCTTTCAGAAAATATATCATTGTTTGGGGGTTTGAAGCTGTTTTCTAGCCAAAAATTCAGATTTTATCGTGTGTGCAAATGTAAGAAATTGCTCCGGACAGCAAGTGGTTAAATGCTACTGACTGGCCTTAGGCTTAAGAGCATGAACAGCTTATTTTAATAGGGGCAGTGCTGTTTTAAATTGACCTACAGACAAAAGAGGGTTGGGAAGAATGTTGAGATACTAGAACAGCCATCAAAGTAAACAAGACTAGTTACAACCCTTAACACATGGTGGAACAGAGGGAGAAATAAGTGGAGGGGTAGAATGTCTAGGTTAGGATGAAATTATATTAGAGTGACATCATTTCCTCCGGCATAAATTAGGCTTGTGTTCTGTCCTCACCCCACATCAGAAAGTCTGTTGCTGCAATCACAATGAACTCCACTGAGTGCTCAGGAAGCGAAGCAGAGTCAGCTTTATATTAAAGTGCATGGTATACATGTAAAAGGTGCTAAATGATGAAACGAAGAGCATGTGCCACAGTGGCCGAACACTATATACCGTTGCAAGGATACCCAGTACCCAGTGGAAATCCTCCTGGCAATTTAGCACCAGTTGTAATGTATACGTGTACAGTACTATTACAAATATAGCCAGGTAGGTAGAACTAAACATATAAGCTGCAGAAAATTTAGGTTTGGTTTGTATATTTAATTATTTCGGAATTCGGGATTCGGATCTGAAATTCAATTCGGTTTGGGTTTCAGATTCGGATTTTGGATGAGTTTACAAATATTCGTTGCGAATACTACAGAAAACCATATACAGATATTAATACTAAAGCTGAATCTCCTAGACCCAAATGGCATTCGGGATCCGAGTCTGGGAGCCTAAGCTTTAGTAATATATGTACAGTGGTACCTCGGTTCACGAACGCCTCTGTTCGCGAACAATTTGGTTCGCGAACAGGAAGTTCGGCAAAATTTTGCCTCCGTTTGCGAACTTCGCTTCAGGTGACCAACCCCAGCCATTTTCCCTGCTCTGACACATGGTCGTGGCTTCCTCTAGTCGAGATCGCGGTCTGATCACAGTTTGATTTGGTTCACGACCAAATCGGTTCGCGACCAGAATCGCGGAACGAATTAAGTTTGTGAACCGAGGTACCACTGTATATGGCTTCCAGAGTCTGGGAGCCATATACAAATATTTCTAAAGTTGAGCCCCCCAGACCCGAATTGCATTCGCGAGCTCCCGATTGCAATTCGGAAATTTGGATACAAATGCCATCCGGGTCTAGGAGCCTCAGCTTTAGTATTGTATGTATATACTGAATACAAATTTTCGTGTTCAGACCCATTCGGATGCATTAAACGGAAAAACACACCTGATTGCCCATAAAAGCCACATGCTCAATTCAGTTTAGTTTTTGAACGAAATTCGGACGGGATCCGAAGTTCGGAAATGGAAATTCGGATTTGGACACATTCGGATGCATTGGGATTCTGAAATTCGGATGTGCCTGAATGTCCGAATTTCGGAAAATTCGTCCGCACTTTGATTCGAAACTAAACGAATCACACATGTCTTGGGAGAACATGGATTTCTGTGATAGCATGGTATTTATACACAAGCAGCATATCCCTTTGCTGTTGCCCCATAATATACAACACAATGCACAGAGACAAAAGACACTAATATATAACAGGCAGTAGAGGAAACAGCGTTTTGTTGAGTTTAACATAGTATCTCACCCAGACTAGCAGTTGTGTCATCACCACATTGGGCAGCTCACAGGCCACATGAAGAGCGGTGCGCTTGTCCCGGTCACCGGTAGGACTATTGATCTGCTCCTTATTACTGTGTGCCAGCAGAAGTAAGACATTGGCCAGATCCTTTTCTTGAACTGCTCTGTAGAGCTGTTTGACAAGCGGGACCCCAGGACTTTTTAAAGGCGCCAAAAATAAACGCTGCTCGTACTTTGCTCGGATCCATGATTCCCTCTCTTCCCTGCACACAAAATAAATACACAAAAATAATAACTACTGTTTCTTGAGATACATACCTGCTATGTTCCAGACTGCAGTTTGGTGTTTTACTGAATACAAATTTCAAGACACAGCCTAAAGTATTTAGAAATGTGACATTTATATTGTTTATTGGGAATATATGAATTTGACTTTATTTATCTAAGGGGATGTAGTCAAACAACTATTATTAAATTACAAGGCTCATATTTTATGTGAGAATCTGAGCCTTGCAGTTTGGAAGGTTTGAGACCGAGCAACCTGCAGATAGGGGCTGAACATTGCAATCTGGTGAGATCAAATTTCCATAAGGAAAACATAGTTATTGACCGTATGAGAAATATCTATATACAGTGTATATAAATACACTTACACAGGGGACAATATCCCAAAAAGAAGTCTAAAAAAACCTGGATTGTGTCACCTAGACAAGGGGGGCAAGGACCACAAATAAGGTGTGTGTTTGCTATGGCAAGGGATTGCATCTAGGGAAATATTACAAATTATGCTCCTAATCTCTTAATTCCTAATCTAATATATGAATCTCTGATTGATGTTTTCAAAGGCTATGAAGAAAATATATTATTGACCTCTGAGCTCTCTTAAATTATGTGTGAAGCCTATATAGAATATTGTTTCAAGGTACTCCTTCGGGGATGTAGTCACTCCTTGGTTCTGCCAATGTGCCTATGCAATGGGTTCTTCTGCCTGACATTAGGATTTCCTTATTCAGCTCCAGTTTACCTTTGCATAGTCTTAAATCTGTCCCTGTTTGTTTGAACCTTTTCTGAATTTGATGTGCCTAAATATCACTCAAAGTCTTCCAGTACTTGAAACTATTATACCTGCAAGTGTGCTAGACTGCAGATATAAAAAGAGTTAGCTAGCCCTGCCCCTTATTTCAGACATGTGCCTGGTATGCAGTGAGTGAGGGCTTTTAAAAATAAATAAGGATAAATAAGGATTGCAAGTATACTAAAGTGTATGTCTAGGCTAAATACAAAGTGTAAGCAATACATGCATATTTACCAATGTTTTAATCCTTTAAAGTGCTGCATGTACTGAAAAAACCTTACATAAATCCAGAAAACTCCTAACTTGCTGAGCTCTTTGCCTCTGCTACACTAAAATCCTAAGCAGCGTTATCAATCCTGCCCATTTCCACCTTCCGGACTACAGAAAATCTCACCTTATTCTTAGAGATGAGGAGAGAGGGAGGGAGTAAAAGAGAACTGGGCCGGTCTGACAACACTGGTTGCGATTTTAGTGTTGCAAAGGAATTGATATGTCAGCTCATACAGGAAGTTAGGTGCTCACTAGATTTCAACACATATTTTTCTGATTGCAGTGTTTTTAAAGAGACAAAACATGGGTAAATGCGCATGTATTGCAGAGATGTACTGCATATGTTTTTTTTTAATATTATTTGCCAGTGCATACACTTTAAAATTACGTCACACCATAGTTAATGCATACATATGGGTTAACTAGAGGTAGTTCTTGTACTTGTATGTTACCTTTATATATGTTATACAGGGAAAGCATTTTATTTGATATCTATATAGTATAAGTGAATAATCATATGAATCATCTAAAAAAAGATTAAACATAAGTATTTATAAAGGACTGATTATTGATTAAAGTTTTTTCTTTTACTCAACAATATTTTGACATACTTTGTGGGGACTGGCCACCTCTTCAAGGACTAGACTCTTGTCTGTCTTCAACATAAAGATAAAATAATTCACAATCTGCTCTCAAGTAATGCTCTTTGGAACCTTATGACTAGGCACAGTCATATGTTAAATGTAGTAAGGTTCCTAGCCCAGCATGTAGCTGTATTTACTTCCATTAGAAGGCTAAAAACAATGAGAATAATTAGCACACATTCTCTAAATATGAAACATTTTTATTACCTGGAGGAGTCAGCATTTGGCTTGGTCCGACCTTGAGTTGTCATTTCCCAGATGCTGTTGGCCATTGCATTTCCAATATATGTCAGGACAAGAGTCAGCTCAAGCGGCCAGTCATCAAGGTCCAAGGAGCGCACTCGCGACAAATGTGTTCCAAGATTCCGATGGATTCCTGAGCATTCAATGCAGATCAGGGCACCCAGATTCAAGCTGGCCCAAGTAGGATCTAGTGGACACAGAATGTTATAGCTAAAACATCACCACTTTGTGACTGTAACCACTACTGAGCCCTGATGAAGGGGGACTTTCTAGCCCCTGAAACGTGTTCACTTTCCTTTGCCGACTGCTATGTCAAATAAAAACCACACTGGACACTTAGGGCTTATTCACACGGACGTGTATGCCCATGCAGAGACCCGATCCCATGAGGGGCCGATGCTGTGTGTAATTGCGTTCAGCAGCCTGAACCTCCCTATGGGAGGACGCGGCTGCACATGGTTACATGAAGACCCAAACCTGCACTTCTGTCCAGCACATGAAATGTTAGGATTTTGGAGACAGAACAAAGAGAGAAGGAAAGAAAGTATTATAGACAAAGGGTCAGCAAAGCACCCTGGGAATCTGCAGTTTTGGAAAGAGGTGAGCAAAGACAAACTATGTATTTCTGTAAGTTCAGGTTTTCTTAACAACATATGGTAAAGTATACTGGTGTGGTGTCTTGCTATGTATGTACAGTAACAGTACAGAGAATGACACATACTTGGTGCATTGCAGTCTACGCAGAAATTATTCCCTTTTGCGTTGCGGATAGCTTGGATGGCTACAGCCTCACTTTGACTGTCCAAGCGAGCCTGAAAAAATACACAAAAGATTTTGTTTATAAATGAGCAGCGTCATGTTAGTTTTACATATTTTGTGCCATTTAGATTTTATGTATTTAAAACCTTTTCAAATATTCCTCACTATTAAATCTATCAGAAAAAAGCCCAGGGAGATATTTATATTATATAGTCTTACAAGACATTTAAGTGAATATTACCATATACCCACCATGTTCAGCATGCTGCTATATTTTTTTTAAAGGGTTTATAAGTGAAGCTCTTATTATGCTTACAGTAACCAGTTTTAATATGTATTTGTCACTTACACATGTGGTGGAAGCCATTTTAAATAAAGATTCTTCATAACAATGGCTGATTCTTTATTGTGTAGTTTGGGAATAAAAATGTATATTAATGTTTGCAAAACTAGCTCGCTAAAACTACAGGACATAAAGATGGATAAGGAACTCAAAGGCTAAATTCTCTGCTTGTTTAATGTTAAATGGTCAGTCTATTCAAATTATTATTTCAGGTTTTGGTAGATGCTGAAGTGAATAGTTAAACAGAATGGAGACTCTACTGGTGAGATCTCAACACTTGAGTTCCTGGGTCTGTATATCTGTTATGGCCACATTTGCGTTTTTTTTATTATAAACATTGCAACAGAAGAAGCTGAACCACACAATGGTGTGCAGAACCACCCAAGTGCACAAGAACAAAACAGAATTATAGCAGAGATTTTTGCTGTTGGAGTATCAATGACATGTATGATATCATGAAATGACTCAACCTACCAGGCTCAGCCTACAACTTAAATAACACATCTGGGTGGACAAGCCCTTTGTCCACCCAGCCCACTGTTTTATTTTAAGTGGTTGAATCTCACCTTGTTTTTGCTACTTTCGCAGCACTGTAGACTTGCAAGGATCTGACTTTCAATAGCATGTACCCAGGAATCTCTTTCTTCAAAACTGCCGGTCTCAAAATGCCATGTTTGTCCCGTACTTGATACAATAATGAATTCGAAGTTCTCCTCTTTAGAATGAAATGGAAATGATTAGGTACAAGACAGTGTAATATATATATATATAATCATATTCATAAAACATACAGTAACGCTATTTTTTCTGATTAGTGCTTAGTGGGAAATGTTCAGTAATCTTCCATTCAGAAAATGTACAGAGGAAGTTTGGAAATGGATCTATTAAAAGTTCTGTTAGATTCAAAATACTGTACATAGAAATAATTATACCCCTTGCAAACAGTGTGGGCAGCAAGATCTATAACTATATGCCATTTAAATTGTTCAGTAATAATGCGTATCAGTGTGAGTTTTTGACACAGTGAACAGCATTAAATAAATCTATATCTTAACAACACAAAGCTATGGGACCCATTTACAAGCATAAAAGCTTAGAAAATCAGTACTTTCTTTGTTTACATAAATCAGGTTTATATATCCTGCAGGGTGCATAAATTGCAGAAACAATTCTGCTGTTTGTTTCCTCACTGTGGAACAACATTATAGATGATTTTCTTTTTTTAATATAGAATTGAGCAAATTCTCAAGAGCATTTTTTTCTTCTCTAAAATACTTCAGTAATGCTAAATCCTTCTAAGTCTGCTGTATAGTTTTTACATAGATCCATTCTTCCAGGCTTATACCGCAGTAGGGTAAGGACATATAGGGCGAGCAGTCATATATGTTTTCTGATGGGTTGCTTTTGGTAACACAAATTTGCACCATGCATTTTGCCTTGCATTATACCTTTTTGTGACAACCATTATGGCATTGGCATAGAACACACTTTCTGTGACAGCAGTATGGAGCAGAAAGAGTGCAGCAGGGGCTGTTTTAATATGCTGAAACTCCCAGGCATTGATTAATTGCCCTTTGCAAAAAGGACACAGTGAAACAGACATTAGGTCACTGAACCACCAACCACAGACTTTCAGGAGATTATAGGTCAGTAGTACCTTTGGGAAGTAGGCATCTCACAGTTGTGTGACTTCCCTTGTGAGACTAGACCAGTGTTTTTCAACCTTTTTTGTGCAAAGGCACACTTTTTTCATGAAAAAAATCACGAGGCACACCACCATTAGAAAATGTTAAAAATGTTTACCTCTGTGCCTATATTGACTATATATAAAGTAATTCTCTTGAATAGGAATCAAATAAACACAAAGAAATTATTTTATAATTACTTTATTATGAAATAATAAAGTATTTTATAATTGTTCATATTTCTGTTCAATCCATGACACTTAACTTCACACTTCACACAAATACGTTTTAAATTCAAACTGTTGCAGACGTAGCCCTGGTTAAAGTAGGGTTCAGTGGGGTCTCACTAGTCTTGGTTAAACCCCACAGAGCCCTGGTGA